GCAAGCAGAAACAGCAAGCAGAAACAGCAAGCAGAAACAGCAAGCAGAAACAGCAAGCAGAAACAGCAAGCAGAAACAGCAAGCAGAAACAGCAAACAGAAACAGCAAACAGAAACAGCAAACACAATTACACCACCAGCACAAGATGAAGCTCACAGACAAGGCAGTGAACATGGCGGCAAAGGGCACATATGCAGATGCGGACATAAACATGGACAAAGAGGAGGACACAGTCAAGGAGACCCCCCCCCCAACTTTATTAGAATTAAACTTGACATACGCAAAGAGGAAGAGCAACAAGCTGGAGCATCTGAGGTGATGGAGGAGGATGCACTGGAAGAGGATGCGCTGGTGGAGGAGTTGGAGGAATGTCACTTGAAGCACTTGAAGAAGCTGATCACAATAAGGAGCAGCAGCAACAACAAGCTAAAGCAGTAGGACATGGAGGACAAAGAGGAGGTTGGAAAGGACAAAGAGGTTGTAGAGGACAAGGATCTCCAGCAGCACAGCATACTAATGGTGCTGCATCTTCCAATGCGGATACTAGAGACAGTGAAGGGGAACTAGGTCAAGCTGCTGCATTGGAAGAACTTCTTAGAGTATCTGGCACTACAGGCTGTTTGTGATGTTTCTTCTTGGAGTAGGTGTCAAACACCAGCAAATCTTGGGTGACAATCTCTGGTGGCTGTTTACTACTATGAGGCAAAGATGGGAAGTACCAAGTAATAGGGAGTGTATTGGAGGTGGATGCAAGCAACAATGCCTTGCTGACACTTGAAAGAATAGTCTTTTCATATACCTGGTGGTAACATATGAGCAAGGAAGTAGGTGCAACAGATATCAATGTTTCCATATCCTCTGCGAATAAGTGGGCATGCAATCCTGTGCATGCTAGATCAAATTCCTTAGAATACACAAAGAAAGCTATTTCATGTTTTGTTCCAAACAAGACTAGAAGGTGGACTATGATTCAGGGGTTGGCTATGTTAACCCCGTCCAATCATGTAAAGTGAATAATCTGATTGCGCCAATGCAGATGGATAGAGCACTGACAAAGACTGAATTTTTGCAAGCACTTGAACTTATGGAGCAATATGGTACTATGATAAATAGGAGAAGATTTGTCGCAATGATGGTAGTGCAGATGTACTTCATGGCTTGTAACAATGATATGGCTCCTCATATAACAAAGGATTCTTTGAAGGGTTGCTCTAGGTTCCATGAATTTTTGACCTTGAAGATGAAGTGGTCCAAGAATGCATGGGACAACAGAGATTTTCCTGACCAGATATTGATGGGATCTATGAATTAAAAAACATGCACAGTGCTTCATTTAGTATTGTTTTTGGAGAAGGGGTGCAATTATGATGGACATGGTGCAATTAGCCAATGGCTGTTTAATGAAGGAACAACAAGTTCAAGATCACACATGAAATTTGTGAAGCAGGAAACTGACCGTGGAAAAGCCCAGTATTCTGGATTCCTGACTAGGCATGTTTGGAAGAATGGTGTGTTCAAAGAATAGCAAGGGAGGTTGGGAACTCACTTGATTGGGAAGCAAGTGATTTCAGTTTACAAACATGCGGGAATGGCCAAGGATGGTGATGTTAATTATTGTATAGACGTGGTTTGGAAATCTACACACTAGTTTTGGATTTTTGGCCCTATTTTCTGTGTAATGACTAAGTTTGACTAAAAAATTAAATACATACAAAATTCATGTGCTCAGTATGTACATACTACTACAAGAACATTGTTTTAATTTTTAATTTTTGAATCCTGCAACCAAATTGCCACGCTTGCATTTGCTGTTGCTGTAGCCCAATTACAAGTCAAATTTTTAATCTCATGAGTCATTACACAGTAAAAAGATTGCCCAAAACCAAAGCATAGTATAATTTGACCATTTACCTTTTAGTCTTGAACTGACAGTTTGAGCTGTATCTTGGTCCCCAACAGACACTTAAGTATGATAGGCACATGAATTGAATCCCAGTAAAAAGACAAATTCAGTGATATGGGGGGTTATAGAGCTTTCTTGATTATTGAAAGATATACATGCATGTATACGGAGCATGAAAATGTACAATTGAATTGGTTTTTTTTAAAATTGCCACAGCTATACAATAGAGCTAGATGGAAAGGTTACTGCATACAACAAGACCGTTACACTACTGTGCAACTACTTTGGCCAGATATTTCTGTTGCAAGCCATTTGTGTAATGATGGTATTTGCCTTTATAAGCCAGTGAATGGATCTGGAATAACAGATGAGTGGTTTATTGAAAATATCACTCCCAATATTGCAAGTGCATTTAGCAAAGAGGTAACTGTCATTCTTGGAAAGGAATTGCAGTGGGCTGCTTTTGAACCTTCTCTGGTAGGCGTTATTCCAGATAATATAAGGAGGCATGTGATGGCATCTTTTGTACAGCTGAATACAAGAGTCAGAGCTAATGGTGGTGCTAGTATTGCTGTTGGTGATGATGATGTGAATCCTATTTGAAAAGTTGAGATGGTTGCAACTGAAGCGGCAGGTCAAATAAACTTTGATGAGGTGTTTAAAACAGATCTAGATGAAGAAGGTGCTGCTGCAGA